GTGGGGGATCGGGATCCTCAGTGGGCCACCCAACAGTCTCCATTCCGTAACCAGTTCCATCTTCAATTTGTTTCTTGGACGCGGTAGCGACCCTTAAATATCGATCTGGACTTTATCTGTCTCGTGGTGGAAGCTGCAGTTCCGCGCCTCCTTCACGAGTATCAGCGTTTGTTCCATTTTACTCCTAGCCCTCATTCAATGATCGTGCTCCAGATTTTCTCTCTCCTGAGTTGTCAGCAGCTCATTTGTGCAATTTTCCAGTCTTGGATCACCAAAGTGGTCTTTGGCGGCTGCATCTGAGCCCGCTTTACCTCATCTGTCTGTGCCCCTTTTGCTCTCATTTAACGAACTTTAGGTAAACCTGGCTTGAAGGACAAGCCCCGGGGTATGCTTAGTAAAGTTTTGCGAAAAGAAACATGTCTCCAGGCGATAGACGCATAAAAAATACAACGACGAGAACGCATAGAAGGAAAGAGTATGGGCTAGGGATACAATGATGTGGTTTCATTTGCGAATGTAGAAGGCTCCAACCCTGTCCCTCTCCGTTGCCAATATCAGTATTTGTTCCTTTTGACTCTTAGCCTTCACTCAGTGATCACGATCGAGGTTTTCTTTCTTGAGTCGTTAGCAGCCCGTCGCTCTTTCTACATATTTGGTGCCTTTGTGCAACTTCTCGTGCCCTTGATCGGCGAAGTAGTCTTTCGCGTCTACAACTGAGTCCGCTTTACCCCGTCTGCTTTGGCCACTTTTGCTCTCATTCTACAAACTTTCGGTCAACTTGGATTGAAGGACAGGCAATGAAGTGGGACCGGAGTGGCCATTTCTGGCTTATTAGCCATCATCAGCCAGCCAAACCGATTCCCAAGAGGCGGCGAGCCGTTTATGTTTGTCACGTCCACTTCATTATATATAACAAGTCCCCATGCAACTGCCCGGGATGGCTCTAGATTGAGCTCCAAGGCACAACAGGACGATGTCCCGTAAACAAGTCGATGAGCACCCTACTATCATGAAGGGAAGTTCTGGGTATGCTTGGTTAGGTTTTGCGGATAAATATGTCCCCAGACAATAAACGCATAAGAATACAACGATGAGAACGTATAAAAGGAAATGGTAGAGCTAGGGATATAATGATACTAATAATAATTAGGAGGGTAATAATGGTTATGATGATGCGCTTTCGCTCAGGAATGTATAAAGTCATCCTCGAGCCCCAAAATGCCGCATCCCGCTGAATGTAAGCTTTGCAAGGCTGTAATTTAAACTTGGTGGGAGGAACATCGGAGTGCCAGAGTGATGCTGGAGGACAGAGAAAGAGAGAGGGAGGGGGGAATGAAAGCACGCGAGGCGAGAG